GGCCTCGGAGCGCAGACATGGGAGAGGCGAAAGACGCTGAGGCCAGGTCAGGAGGGACCTTCATGACCACATAAGGATGTCTGGACTTTGTTGGGCCATGGGGAGCCATCAGAGGTATCTGAGCAAATAGAGACAAGATCATTGTATGCTTCAAGAAGATCGGTGACGGAGAAGAAAAATTTTCAGACATGGAAGTTGCCATCTTGTCCCTTCAGAAGGGGAACAACCACACTTGAGAATTCTGTGATTTTCCAGAAGCTTTGTTACTTCCCCGTGTTTGTGACTTTCTAGTTCCTTGCAGTGATTACCCACAAAACCCTAAACCAGAAAGAGACTGGAACTGCCCCAACCCTGTCAGGTGGAAGGAAGCCATTGGAAAGAGCCGACACACAGGCCATAGGTGTCCAGAGAGACGGGCAGGGGCGGAGCCAGTTGGAGGGGACCACGAGGAGACAGTCTGGTTTCTATGACGTCCCGAGTCCCTGCTGGATCCTGAGAAGGCCCAGCCCCCTGCCCCAGGCCGAGGCCCCTTTATCAGGCTCCGAAGCAGTCGTGGCTAATGGTATTCTGAGCTGTGAGAACTGATCACAGCCCAGAAGAAGCCCCAGAAGCTCCCTCCAAGGAGGAGCCTACTCAGGGAATTCCAAGACCCTCACCCTGAGTGGGTGGCTGGCAACCTGATTCAATGGCTTCTCAGCCTGCTATCCCCTCTGGATCCAGAAACTGGACTCCAAATCTCCCTGAGGAAGGCAGTAGCAAAGACACCAGACTGGCAGGAATGAGCCTCCCAATGTGAGCTTAGACCAGCACTTCATGGCTCTGAGCCTTAGCTTTCCATCTGGGTCTTCCCTTGGCTCGTTGCCTAGCTTTACTGTGAACATCACATCGGCTTACGGAGCAGAACCAGCTCTAAATGATGAGGGAGCGAGACAGAGCCAGGGTCCTCTGGGTCTCTTTCTGTGTTATACATCTGCTAATGGATACTTTTTAATGCAGACATATATTATATAATTGCTTCTATAAAAGTAATTTTAAATGTTTATGAAGCTGAATGAGAAACTGAAATAGAAGAGACCTTGTGGAGACAGGGCTATAATTCAAAGAAGGCACATTAATGCGGGCTGTGGGGCCCCTCATCAGCTGAGGGTTAGGGCTCTGGAAGCAAAAGCTTTGTCTTTCTCTCTTTTTCCAGGAACAAGGACCCTGGCTGTGAATAGGGTGGCGGAAGAATTGTGTAGTCAAGTGGCTCATCGTCTGGGAGGAAAATTCCAGCTCACCAGTTCCCATGGGCCCGTCTGAGTGGTGGGGATGGGAGAGCCAAGAAGCTATGGTTTCCCCATCCTCCAGCTCCCACATCCCCTCTGCACAGGGATGTGTGGGCTCCCAGACCACCAGATGCTTGTTTATTACATCCACCTAGCCCTCAGAGTGTCTTAGCTTCTTCCTTCCCCCTAGCACTTTCTCTTGGGGACCCACAGCCCTAGAGGTCTGGAGTCAGGAAACAGGAGCTGGGACCCAGGCTTCCCTTCGCCCCCCTGAGAGCTGACCCAGGGTTCGGCCAGGCCCAGGTGCCCATCACCTCCCTGCTGTACCAACCTGACAACCTTGAGCCTGACAACACCTCAGGCTCTCCTGAACTGGTATCCCCCTTGTAATACGGGGACAGGAGCAGCCCTAGGTTCACAGGGTGGATGTGAAGGCAAGTGGGAAGCTGTGTGCAGCATCAGGACAGCCCTGGCACAGAGGAACTCCTCGGTAAGCGGCACCAGCAGAGTCCTCCCGCCTCTCTCTGTGGTGCCTTAGCTCCATCTACCACTGGTCTAACCCACCCAAGACCCCACAAGGAGCAGGCATGAGGGGAAGGGAACCGAGGTCCCCTGACCTCCAGATGGAGGCTTTCCCAGAGGCAAGGATAATCCCCATCTGGAATGTGGCTGTTTATTCTCTTTACAGGGCAGATCCGGGTGTGGCTTCTTCATCTCCTAACACAGCCAGGGGAGATGGGGCCATGGGCTCCGAGGCCAGGACCCCTAGGAGGGTGGGCTCTGTGTGGCCAGGCCCTGCAACAGGGGAGGTGGGGCAGGGGGGTTTCCCTGGGGGTGGCTCAGCTGCCCCTGAGTTGGCGGCTGGGCCCGTGAGTCAGAGCTGCCCCACGTCTCTGTTCCTCTCCCCACTGGCAGCCACGGCCCCAGACTTCTGGAGGCAGTCCAGGGAGGCCTGTGGTTCCGAAAGGAGGTGTTAGTCCCCAGAAGCAAACTGAGATGCCCCATCCCCAGCTCAGAGAGAGCAAGTAATGGCCGAGGTCACACAGTGAGGTGAGACAGGTCTCAGGTGACCCATCCCAAAGGGGCCAGGCAGGAGGGCCAGGGCCTGTGTACTCTGCCCTCTGCCCCAGCAGCTCTATTGCCCCGGCCCCGCTCTGCTGTTGGGTCTCCCAGACCTGAGCCGGCAAGTGGAGCCTACAGCCAGTACTGAGCTGGCCAGTGGACACCAAGATGCCTGGCTCATCCCAGCCCCACATCACTAAGCTGCCACAGCCACGAGGGGTGAGTCTGCAGCCCTCTCCCAGCCTGGCAGACTCTGCGCTCAGAGCCACAGCTGGGCCCCTGCTTCCCTGCCCGGGCCGTGCTGTGGCCACACTCACCCACATCTTCCTTGTTTCTTCTCTCTCCTTCCTCCGCTCTGCTCCCTCGGACGCACTGTCTGTCTCCCTGCCCGTACCTGAGACCTGACCACCAGTCACCAGGGCCTGGGATCTGGGCTGTAGCAAATGCCTCTTATGAGCCACACCAGCTTGGATCTGGGCCACAGGTTGCAGGGAGCGGGGCTGGCTTAATGGCCAAAGCCAAAGCACATGGTGGGGCAGGGTGGGGGTGGCAGTGGGGCTCAGGGCCCCCACCCAGAACCAAGCACTACAGAGCCAGAAGAGCCTTCTCCTTTCACAATTTGGAAAACCAAAGCCTGAGGTCCAGGTCCCCCAACTACCAGGGAAGGGCGGGGGGAAGTGTGAAAAACCCCGTCTCACAGATGGAAGTGGACTTGAGCTGAGGGGCCATGTGGGGATCCTATGGCTGGGTGAGCCCGGCTGCCCCACCCCACTCCTGCTACCTCCCAGGCCCAGGGACCCACACCTGTGGGACACCACGAAGTCTGTGAGTGAGAAGCACCAGGTTTAATATTAAAATCTTTCTCTTAAAAAAGTACACAGAGAGGAAAACTTGATGGCGTACAAAATAGCACTTTTGTCATATAAATGTGTGTTAATGTGAGTCCTAAAAATACTTGTAAACCTAGGTGATTACATCTTTGGTACCGTAGTGAGAACCCATGCCCTCTCCTTGACCAGGCTTTGGGGGTCCCAGGGCAGGGATGTGCCAACCAACACAGGGGGCTGGTTCCCAGTATCACTGACCTTCCCTCACCCACCCACCCCCACCCCATTCAGCCCTTCCCTTGCCAATGGTCCTGGCCACAGCCCTCACTCTCCAGGCCCCTCCACTGCCCACTGAGCTGGCAGAGGCATGAGGTGAGCATCCCTGGCAGACAAAGCCGTCTCCCATGGTTCCTTCCTCAGGGTGGGGCAGCTGGAAGGTGGGAAGGCAACCTGCAAAGTACCCACCTCTTGCATCCCCTCCTCAGGTCCCCCCTTCAAGGTGTCTTGTTCTCTCACTGTCCGTCAGGTCTGCAGCACAGCCCTGGACAAAAGGTGCTGGAGTGGTGGGATGCGCTAGGTGCTCCGATTTGCTGCCTGCCTCCTTTGCCCAGGATAGCTCCAGCCAGAGGTCATGTGGGTGGTGAAAGGGATCCCATGGTCTCCCTCCATCCCTGGGGCAGCTTCTGGGGGTTTTCCAGGACACTGGCTATCACTCAGAGCCAAGGCCTGGGCCTTTGGGGACCTGCCAGGGCCCTGGGGAAGGGGCCCAGTTCCTGAATGCCCGGATGTGTGATCAGGGCCTCCCCAGGCCCCAGCTGATCCCAGGATAGAGGTTTGGAGTGTTTATCTTTGCTTCATCTGGGCAAGTGTACAACCCCTGGAATACTCTAGAATGTTAGTGCTGGCAGGGTACCAGAAGTCAATGAGTCCAAACGCTCATTTTTCAACAGGGAAAACAGCCCCAGAGAGGGTGAAGGAATCCTCCAAGGTTTCTTAGCAGGTCCAATGCCATACTGGTCCACACATGCAGGCACCTGTTGCAGGCATGTCAACACACGCATCAGAGATGTGGGGCTCATCTGGCTCTGGAGACTCTGGTGAGTGGAGTAAGACTGGCAGTGATGAGGAAGAAGATCCCTGGACCCATGGGGCCAGGAAGACATGGACAAGGCATGTTATGGGGAGATGTACCCTAAGTGCCTGGGCCTGGGGCTACAGGCCAGGGCCTCCTGTGCTTGGCTCAGCCCCCAGCATTAATTAGGCACAGAAGGCCCCAGACCAGCCTGGGCCTGGAAAAGCAAAGACTGGCACTGAGGGCAGGTGGCTCCTGGATGAGGCAACACTGTCCAAGGCCAGGCCCTAGCTCGGCCAGGAGCCGGAGACGCTGGGGTCCCTTCCCCAGCTCTTGGAGAAAAAAGTGCAAGGAGAGAGCTGCAGCTCCTTGAGGGGCAGCTGGCTGAACAGAAAAGAGTTAATCCACCACGTCACGAAACTTGAGGGTTCCATCCTCCACATCTGTCAGGCAGGGTGAGAATCCCAGACTGTGGGCTGCCAAGCCCACCATTCCCATCTTACAGATGGGGAAACTGAGTCCCCTGGGAGAGCCCTGGCTCAGAGTCATACGGTGCTCCAAGAGGCAAAGGACTGGTCGCGGCTCCTCCAGTTCTCTTGCCTCCTAAGCCAGCCCCAGGGTTTGGGGATGATGTGCCGGGGCAGAAGCTTTCCGGAAAGGGACAGCTGACGGGAGCAGCCTGGCTGACGGGAGGCCGGGCCCCGCCAGGCGGTGCAGGGTGCTGGGAGGTAGAGGGGAGCTTCGAGTAGGGCAGGCCGGGGTGGGGGCCAGCCCCTACAGGAAGCTGTCCTCCGCCTCGGCCCGAGGCCCCGGGCATCTGGAATCCAGCGGCCGCTCGGGCTCTGGCTCCACCTGGGAGGCGGGCTGAAGCTCTGGCTCTGGCTCCTCTTGGGGTTCCAGGGGGCTGTCACAGGAGATGGTAGAGGAGGTGTTGACTTCATTCAGGGTGGAGCTAGAGGCAGGGAGGGGGAGTGAGTGAGAGGCTGGAGGGAACCTCAGTGAAAGAACAGCATTAACATAGAGCCTTCTATCTACCTGAGCTGGCTGCATGCACCTTACACACTTTACCTCACTAAAATCCTTGTAGAGATTACACGAGGCAGGCGTCGTGAGGAAAGTGCAGCTCAGAGAGGTTGTGTCATTGCCCTGAATCCCACAGTGGCTAAGTATAGGAGTGGGGACTTAGAGCAGACCTAGTTGACTCCAAAGTCCATTGCTTACTCATCAGTCTCCATCTCCCACATGGCTGAATGCATAATTACCTCATTCAATCCCCATAACAACCTCCAAATTGAAGTACTCCTACTGTTTTCATCTTGCAGACGAGGCAACTGAGGTTCAGAGAGGAGAAGCAGCTGGTCTGAAGGCTCAGAGCAGCCCCAGCATTCACACCCCAAGCTGTCTGAACTCAGCTGAACTCGCCTGTACACTGGCTGCTTGGAGCCTTGGAATATTAGCTTCTCAAACAGGGTGGTGAGGGCCTTCTAAGTCCTGTGTGTGCCCCTAGTGCATGTAGAGAGATGGGCTCACAGCGAAGGTACCTGGCCGGGTCTCACTGCAGCAAGTGGCAGAGATACAGCTGGGATCCAGTTTGCAGCCCCAGCCATTTCACCACAGGGTGGATCTTGTTTTGGGTGTGGGTCTGGCCTCATGCGGAACATCTAGTCCAGGCGATAGCTGGCCTTCCTCCAAAACCCTCCCCTCATGCTGATCTTCACATCCCAAGGCAAAAGAAAAGCATGAATCTTCTCCCCAGTCTGAATTTTGGCCTGAACTTCTGCAGACACCTCTGCCTCCCTGTTCCATGCTCCCTGGGGTCCTCAGGGCATGGTGCTAAAGGCCAGATCATAGGGTTGGGGATGACCACAGAGTAATACTTGTGGTGCTGGGGATGCAAATTAGATTTTCCTTTTCCCTCCTTAGGGCTAAGTCACAGCCGAGAGAGGGGACAAAGTAGATGGCCTGTGGGGGCTCCTTTAAAGGAAACAGATATTTTGCAAATACGTCCCATGCCATTCTTTCTCTTACCAGCCTGCCATTTCCACCTGAGGTCATCAAAGGTCAAATGAGTTCCATTCTTATTTCTATTCATTGGCAGGAATAAGTACTCACCTGAGGTAACTCACTTCTAAGCCAGGTCTGAAGGCATGAAGATACAGACTCACACACACACACACACACACACACACACACACACACACACACACACACACACAAAGACACACACGCACGTGTGCACACACACTATGTACACTACTGGTTTGGGCTGCAGGTAGGAATAGCTACCTGGCTAGGCTGGGGGAACCTTCCAGTGGGCCCTCATCAGCACCCTCGGGTTTGGGGTCAGGCAGGGGGATGATATAGTCATTGTCCCCCTCGTTGGGCTGCACAGCAGTGTAGAGAACGGAGCTGGAGTCCAGGGGAGATCGGAGGCCACTGAAGCCAGGCAAGCGGGCTTGGGACCGAAGGATGGCTGGGTGGTCGCTCCTCAGAAACTCCTCATCCACCTGCTGATACTTCTGCTCAGGGGGCAGGAAGAATCCGAGACAAGGGAGGGTCAGACCAGAAATGACTTTAGAGATCACCTAACAGGTAGACCCTGAGCCAGCCCCCTCCAGCATTATGTAAATAAGGTCCCTGGAGAGGAAAGAGAATTGCCCAAAGCCACTAAGTTACCCACCTCTCTGGCCTCTCAACAGACAAGGTGAATTGAGGGTCACCTGGGGAGGGGTTAGTACTCAGACCAGCACCCATGACCCTAACTCCCCCTGCCTCAGGGGAGACAGGTATGGGCTCTCTGCCTGCCACGGCCTCCTTCGCTGAGGCCTGTTTCCCTCACTACTGGTCCTAGAACGATAACCATATGTGGTTGGCAGCGGGCTGAGGAATGGACTGAGGGAAAAGGCTGTGTCTGCACAATGCATCCCCCTCGCACGCAAGGGAGGGTTTTAAGGTCCCGCTGGCAACATCTGCCTTGTACGAGCCTGTCACAGGGTCTAAGCGGTCAGGTCCTTAGTGGTCATTGCGCCTGGGGTTGTTCAGACTTGGGATGGAGGCCCAGGGTTTGGTCTGGTTGCAAAGACAAGTGGAAGGATGCAGGATGAGGTGGGGGGCTGTAGGCTCCCTGCCTCCAGTTTAAATTAATCAGCTTCCAAGTAGGATTTCACTTTAAGAAATTCTGTGCTGCTAAAATAAACTACACTGACATCCCTTATCGGCACCAAGAGGGAAACAGGCCCAGAGGGGGAAGGATTGTCCCCAAACAGCAGTGTGTCACAGTGAGCCTTGTACCCTGTGTCTATTTCGGGACGGGAGCGCTCCGGTCCCCACCCCCACCCTGCCTCAGCATACCTTTTTGTAGCCCTCACCCAGCAGTCTCTCAAGAAGCAGCACCAGCTGGGAGAAGGGGGGCCGGATCTCGAACTTCTCTTCCCAGCACTTCTGCATGATCTCGTAGCTGGGGAAAGGGGCAGAGAGGTCAGGGCCTCGGGCTCAGGGCCTGCTGCCTCCCAGGACAAAGTGAATAATAAATAAAAAGAGGTGGGAGGGGAGGAGGGGAGGAGGGGAGGGGCCCCCCTTTACTGCTCCGGCATGTTCCCTCGAGAAGCCCTTCCTTCACCTTCAGTTCAGTGCTTCCATGGGGTTGATCGCACCTTGGTGAGCACATGACCGGGTCTGGCCAGTAGGGGTTCATCCCCTCAGCTCAGTGGCTGGTTCTGGATGGGCCTGGGACCCCAGCAGAGCCCTTGACAACCACCTCTGGGCCTTTTGCTGCAACTATGGTGAAAGCAGCCAGGCTGAAGCTATTTGGATGGTGCCAGCCTGAAAGTAAGGCCAACAGGAAGAAGAACAGAGCCCCAAGATAGAACAAGAGACTGTGGATGATGTCTGTGAACAACTGTATCCAGCTATACCTAATTTTTCTACATCTCTGAACCAATCTATTTTTGTCTTAAGCTGGTAAAGTTGGATATGTATTGTCTGCACCCCAAAATATCTTCCCAGAGGCTCCACTCACATCTCGTCAGAGGCGTGGGCAGGCTGGGCCATGCGGTAGCCCCGCTTGATGGCGTTGTAGAACTGCTCATTCATGGGCAGCTCTGGGTACGGGGTGCCACCTGTTAGGGAGCAGAGAAAGAGACACAGGCTCAGGGGTGCTGGCAGGAATCCTCTCCTACAGGACAGGGAGAGGCATACCAGCCTAGCGATCAGTGTGGGTATTGTGGCTTTGGCACTGGGAAATGTGGACTCCCTCATAGGCTCTGGACACAGACTGAATCCCTCCCTGGAATCAGAACCAGAGAACACCAGAGCCAGGCTTCTTGACGTCACTGTCCAAGTCCATCTATACTGAGATGCAGAGGTAAGGAGATCCAGATGGCAAGACACTTGCTGAGGTCACACAGGAATAAGAAAAGAGCAGAGCTTCTGAGCCCTGTCCCATCGCCCCCCTGGGATGGAGGTGTGGGTGCTCAGGGTGGACGCTATGCCATGTGTGGGTGAGCCCTGGAGAACGAAGGAAGCATACCCAGGGTGAAGATCTCCCAGAGCAGGATGCCGAAGGACCACACGTCGCTCAGGGTGGTGTAGAGGCTGTTGAAGATGCTCTCAGGGGCCATCCACTTCAGAGGCAGGAAGGTCTGTGGGAGAGTGGAGGCTGCTGAGCCCAAGGAGGGGCCGAGCCCCACTCTGTACCTGGGAGGCAGGAGGAGGCCCAGCAGTCCCCATCCCAGCTATTTCTCACTTCCTGGTCCCCCAGGGCCTATCACTGCCAATACACGGTTCCCACACCCATCCCAATGCTGGTTAGTCAGAGGATCAGGAGGCTGAGTTTCTCATCTCACAAGCTGGGGACACGGCAACCCCTATCTGTGAGGAAGAGCCCCAGGGTCTGAGACTACTTGGGGAGCACGATCCCTTTCCTGACCCCTGCTGGGGGCAGGCAGGGTCATGCACAGGTGTCACCCAGCTCTCATCCTAGATGCCTTACATCTCTGGAGCCTAGTGTCCCTGTGTGGAAAGTGGGGACATGAGTGCCAGGCAGGATGGTCACCTTTTATCCAAGTACCACCTGCCACTCACTCATCTGGGCTTCTGCCTCTGCCCGCCATCACTGCTGAGAAGCACATTTGGCCTGCTCCCTATCCATCCTCCCCGAGAACCTTTACAGCTGGCTGCTTGGCCCCTGCCATGCCCAGCAAATCTGAGCCCGTGGCCCACCCCACAGGCCTGGGCATCTCACCCCCACCCCGCCCCATGCCCAGCTGGTGGCTCCTCTTCCTGTCCCTACTCACAGGGCCAGGCAGGCAGAGCCCACGAGGACTCTGGCCTGACTTCCCAGGAGCCAAAGCCACATGAACCATGGTGGCAGTGAAGGCACTCACACTGCCCTTGGAGATGTAGTTCGAGTCCCGCATGATGTCACGAGCCAGGCCGAAGTCACAGATCTTGACCAGCTTGCCCTCACAGATGAGCACGTTCCTGGCTGCCAGGTCTCGGTGGACACACTGGCGACAGAGGGGACAGAGCTGAGACTGTGCGGCAATTGTGGGAAAGGCTCTCCGGGTCAAGGGCTTTGTGAAAAATACATGGTTGGTCAGGTGTGAGGGGCCACCAGGTGTGAGGGCATTGGCCATCCTCAGCCACCAGAGGGCCGCTGTACGGGTCACATACTTGGAGGACCCTGGCTGGTCGGGGGACCCCCCCTCCCCAAGATCCCACTCTGCTCACTGTGACTACACATACATTCTTGGAGGCCAGGAACTCCATGCCATTGGCCACCTGGTAGCTGAAGCCCACAAGATCCGTGTAGCTAAGCACTGGGGACTCGTTGATCAAAGTCACCCGGCAAGTCCTCTCAGGAGCTAGGAAAGAGCAGAAGGACATCTTGAGTACCCCCAGGGCCACAGAACCCTGGCCTCTGGCTCGTAGAGTCTGGATGGCCCAGAGAGGAGACTCCTGATCCTCTAAGGTTTCCCCAAAAGGAAAATAATTTCCAAATAGCTCTTAAATTCTCCAACTTCCAGAAAAAACTTCTGGCATTAGCCCTGGGCCACTTTTGCTCAGCCTGGCCTGCCTGCTCCTCTGGGCACTAGTCAGCCTGGGGCCTGCTCTGAGCAGACCACTCTTTCCTGAGGCCCCAGCAGGTCAGGCATCCCCTCCAACCCAAGCTCCTCTCCTCCCTGAAGGCTGTGTGCACATTTCTCGACCCAGAAACAGGGGCTGATATTGGGGTTCCACCACATAGGAGCTTTGGGCAGGTGGCAGGCCTCAGTTTCTGCATCTATGAAATGGGCACAAGGCCACCTTCCTGGCAGGGTTGTTGCCAGACTGGGTGGAGGAAAGGGTTTGGAAAGAATGCATGACAACACAGGTGTGAGGACCCTGTATGCACCCACCAGAGGGGACGTAGTTATCATAAGGAGCCATGTAGTTGGAGGACTCAATGTCTGCGTATTTGACATCTCCTTTCATGTCCAGCATGGGCACATAGTCCACCGATTCGTCCTTGCTCATGTCCATGTAGCCACCATCGCTCTCACCAGGCAGTGACACGTGGCTGGGGGCAGAGGAGCATCACAGAGGCAGTAGCACAGGCTCTCCCCGCTCATCCCCCCACCCCTCTGCTCACCACTAGGGCCAGAAAGGACCTGTCACTTATGCATTTCTTCTCTCCATCACTCAAGCATCCTCCACTCACAATCTGTCACAATACGAACGACCATGGAGTGAGCCCTTCCAGCCAACCTCAGACCCATCCTGAGCTGGGCACTGGGGCTGCCAAGATGACGTTAAGACTTAGGTTGTGTCCTCAGAGAACTCATGCCCAGGGCGATTCCAATACCCAAAGACAAGGGTCACAGGAAGGACACTGCCCAGCCATGAGGCCCTGCAAGTGGGCATTGAATCACCTTAATGCCTCTGCCTGCAGCATCAGCTCTCCAGAGAGCTGTGGGACAAAGTACACATGTGTCTCTAGGAGGAGAAAAAAGACTGGAAGGAAACCAATCAAAATGTTGACGAGAACATGGATGAATTTTAATGTCTTTTAATGCTATTCTTAACTGACTCTTGCCTCTGAAATAAACAAGTATTGCTTTTGCCATCAGCAAAAGAGAAAAGAAATGTTATTTTTGGACAAGAAGAAGAAAGAGGATAGCTACCCTGGAGGCACTGGAGAGACTGCTGTGTGGAGGAGGGGGAAGGCTGCAGCAAAGGAGGAGTAGAGTGGAGAGCGCTACAGTGAGGGTCAACTTGGAACAGAAGGGCCCCAGGTGCTCCCCATTGATGGAGAGACAATGATGTGTGTTTGGTGAGAGGTCGAAAGGGGTCACATCTGCAGAGTGCTCAGTGCAGGGCCTGGCACACCTCCTACAGTCAGCCGGTGGCAGCTACCATCATCACCACTGTTATTGTCATGCCCACCTCGGGGGTGGCCGAGGGGGCCAGGCTGCAGGCTTGCTGGTGAAACAAGTGAAACCTGGCTCGAGGAGCGGCTCTGCCCGCCCTGGCCTCAGCTTCCTGTCCTGGACAAGTAGGGGTGAGCAGGTGCTCCTCAGGGCTCCCCCCGACTCAGGCCCCAGCCCCCCTGCGGTACCTGGGCAGGGGGAGCCCGACAGGAAGGGCGTTGCTGTAGAGCTCGGCGCTGGGCGGGCGGCGCTTGTCCGAGCAGCGCTGCAGGAAGGTGTGCTTGTTGCGGTGCAGGTAGTCCACCAGGTCGCCATAGCGGCAGTACTCGGTGATGATGTAGATGGGCCCTGCAGAAGGACAGGCTCAGCAACAGTCCCGGGGCAGGATGTGGGGTGGGGTCAGAGCCATGAGGCTGATGACAGGCTGCACGTGGGACAGCAAACAGGCTCAGGCCCCAGGCAAACCTGGATTTTCCTGGCTGTGAGCAAGGCAATCCCCCTGAGCCTTACTATCCTCATCTATCAAATGGGGCTAGTAATACCCACCCCAAAGTATCTCATGAGTATTCATGAGATAATGCCTTTGGTTAGCTCAGCTCAGTGCTTGGCAAACTGCAAGCACAGAGTTAGCTGTTGTTGATGAAGCTGAATTTTGAGCCCAGGATATAAAGCAAACAAAGTCAACTGATTATTACCAGGTTACTGTTTAAATTCAAACACAATGCATTGACTTGGCAGTTTGAAGATACTGGTGGAATCAAACATTTTGAAATGTGTGGCCATTGCAGACATAAATTGGTCCACGCACATAGTGTACTTCTGTATTTTGTTTTGGTTGCACAATACTGAGGAAAATCCCAAATCTCACAATAAGCAGCTGCAAACAGTGATAACTTTTTTTTTTTTTTTTGCGGCCTAACTTGTAATCAGAGTTTCAAATAAACACACTCAACTGGAGAGACCTTACTTGTTCTATATTCCGAGTGAAAGCAGCTCTCAGTGAGCAAGCCGGTTGATGGTCTCCAGAGGAAGGGCTCATTTCAATGTCTCATGAGCTGTTACTTATTACCCTTTTTAAAATCAATTGTGAAAAGTTTTAAATGTCAGAGGACTCCTTGATTTGGAAACTGCTAGGAATGGTGACCTGAAGGATGCTTTGGTCTTGGAGGTGATGTGATTTTGTGACTTGCTAATCCGACACACATCTGGCTCTGTGAAGTGAGGGCACTGGGCTGGGTAGGCACAGACTCTCCAGTGGGAGTGTCCTGTTGTTCTTGGACTGGGGAGGGGGCAGGGAGGGGTCAGGCCTTGGCCACTGGCACTTCCCCAGAATTCTCTGGGAGTGGATTGTACCTCCTTTAGTGCAGGCCCCCAGCAGGTTGACCACGTTCAGGTGGGGCCCAAGGTGACTCATGATCTTCAGCTCCGACATGAGGGCTTGCTTCTCACTGCTGCGGGCTGTGGCTGAGGGAGAGAGAGGATCTCAGGCCTGGCCCAGTCACGGAGGCTTCAGTGGAGCCTATTCTGGCTCATCTGCCCCAGTCTGTGATGTTAGACCCATGTGGTCAAGGATGGTGAGAACCCACGGGCAGGAGAAAGGAAAGAGGGTGGGCGGGGGAGCTTCTGGAGGAGCGGGCAGGGCGAGGAAGCCTCTTTCCCAAAGTAGAATCGGGAGTGCTGCTGGCTGTGGTATGCCTGTACTTCTGTGCCCAGAGAATCAGCACAAGACCTGCTCTGGGAGTGCCTGAATGTGCGGGGGAGCTGGGGGTGAGGGGAGAGAGGGGCGGGCAGGACTCACATTTCAGCATCTTGACGGCCACTTTCATGGTAGCCTGAGAATGGCTCAGGCCGTGAGCCGTGGCCTCCACCACCTGCCCAAAAGCCCCGGAGCCCAGGGTGCGGCCTGGGAAAGAGATGATCTCTCAGCTGCTGAGCCACAAAGAATCTAAACATGTATGCTCTCTGAGGTCAAGTTAGACATCCCTCAAGCCACCCTGGGCTTAAGGTGTTTCTCCCATGAAGGCTCCTAAAATCACAGTGCTTTGTGGTCCTTCCTGGTCTCCCCTAGTCCTGCCTGTTTTCTGGCCCCTCTTTAGTCCCTGGAAAACCTCTCCCCCAGAGGGGAGCACAGGTTCTCCGTACCCTCTCAGCTTCTCTAGTGCCAGGCCTGTGCCTGAACTAGGCACAGGCCTGGCACTCATTAATACTTCCTCTCTCTCCACAAAGGGGTTTCATCTCATCGCATCTCTGGATCATAGAACATAAAGGCTAGAGGGTCTCAAGGGGATCATCTTACCCCCATGGTACAGAGGGTAGGGCCTGAGGGCCAGAGAAGGCAAGACATCAGCCCTAGGTCTCAAGCCAATCATGGCAAGGCTGGGCCCACGTGTCAGACAGTGTTCCCACCCGCCTCAAGTCCTCAGACTGCCACTTGAGGCCTCCTTGGACTGACCAAGCACAAGCTGGTCCCGTGGCAGCTCCCAGGTGGAGTCGTAGGGCAGCTGCATAGGGTCCACATAGATGTACTCATGGCCATCAGAGCTCACAGATTCAATCACTTTCCATCGGATTTCGTAGCGTGGCTTCTGCAGAACCAAGATCAGGGAGGGATCATCAGAGGGGAACCACTAGGTCCATATCCTTATGAAACAGATGAGGCAAGAAAAACTGAAGCCCAGAAAAGATTATCTGAAGTCATACAGTAGATCTGAAGTGATACGGCAAGCTATCAATAGAGCCAAGGCCTTTATGGGCTCCATTGGAACAGATGTAAGGAGGAGGTGGCTGAGAAGCAGCTGACGGCTGAGAAGCAGCTGACAGCTGAGTGGCAGGCTCATCAGAATCTCCTCACCAGCTTCTCCCAGAACCTCAGCTGCTCCTCGGATGGCAATAAGGTATGTAGCCCAGGAAAGTGACACGAGGCAGGGACATTCTACTAGATGTGGTTGGCCCCTCCCCATGCCGGGTCAGTCACAGTGGGAATCTCAGAAAAATATAACTTTAGAATGTTGAAATCATAGGATGCTGGAATCACAGGATTAGAATCTTAGAATGACAGAATCGAGTGCAGCTATCCTATGGTAGAATCATGGAATGGTGAAACCATAGAACAGACCATTGAAATGACAGATTAGCAGGATTAGAATGCCTTTCAGTAGAATCCTAGGAGTGTGGGTGAGAGTTGGAAGAATGCTGGAACCCAGGCAGTCCACCTTGAAGGTCTTGTGTCCTGTGGCTGGGATGGACAGGCATGATGCCCGAGCAGGATGCTGGGTGGGGAGTAGGGAGCACAGCAGAGTCAGGGCACTCCAGATGGTCTGGACCAGGCCCATGTTGGTCCAGGCTGCTGGGGTTGGAGGTAGCTCAGATACCCCGCATCACTTTATATCATTTTTATCACCTGAGCTCCATGCTGGGCCCCAGACATGGCCAGATCCTGCAGCACTAGAGGATGGCAGAGGTCCATGCAAAAAAAATGGTGTGCCACTCTGAACCCATTAGGCAAAGGTGGGGCTTACCTTCTGCCAGAGCATGATGAGGATAATGAGGGAGATGATCACAAGGACCACCAAGGCCAGGATGGCCGAGATCACCACCACCTTGAAGGGCAGGGCTGGATGCAGAGACAAGAGATACTTATGAACAAACAGGGCATTTGGCAGCTCCCCTCCCTGCAATCTACCTCTGCAAAAACCTCTCTGCCCATCCTGCCCAGAATGGAACCAGCTGCACCCCCACTTTGGCCTATGATGTCAGACCTTTAGCCTCTCCCTAAATATCCCTCTGGGACACACCTCCAGCCTCACCCTAAATATCCCACAGTAACTCCCCCTGGATCACCACGGGTCTCCATATTCCCTCAGCCCTTTCCAGGGTCAGTCTGGCCTGTCTGCCACAGGTCCAGATTGAATACAAGCTCCTGAGAGCAGGGCTGTGGTTTACCTCTCTTCTGAATCTATGCCCTCATGGGGGCTTGTCACAGCTAGGATGGAGGCCAATGGATACAATAACAACTCCCACAGCCTGAGGCATACAGACTCCAGAAAGGAGCCTGTTTCCTCCCCCGTGGTGATGGTAACAGTCAAGCAGACTGAGGCAGGGGCCAGGAAACAGGAGTAACCAAACATGGCCAACTCTGGGCCCCCAAACCCTGAGTCTCCCCTACTCTCAAAGCCTCAGCCTCTTTGCTGCACATACCCACTTCTTCCCACTCCCTCCACATTCAGCCAAACCCTCATCAACCCTGTCCTGCCCCTCTGACCACCCATGAAGTTCCTTGGGAACTCCCCCCCTCCTCCCCTGTCCCCCACAGGCCCTATTTTGCTCCCTAGAGAGCTCTAGGGAGCCTACATCTTCTAGGGAGCTATCTCTGAGCAAAAAGAGGGGACTTAACCCAGCCATGACAGTTCCCTGTGGGGTGGTATATGGCTCCCCCCTCAGATGGCACACAAAAGCTTTACTTCTGCCTTTCTCAGAGTTGGTCAGTAGGTGCCCACTTGCTCAGGAATATGAATGCATGTGTGGGAGTGTGGATGAGATAAGGCATTAAAACCTCCACCCATGCCACCACAGGGCAGGGGAAGGCAGGTCTGTGTAAAGAAGTATCTGCTTATACAAGCCCAAAGACCTACCTAAGTGCCAGTATAAGTGTGTCTAAAACACCTTGTACAACCTTCATAGCTCTGCTCACACTGGCTTCTGGCTTCTCCTGTAGTCCCCTCCCCTTTACCTCCTCCCCCAACCCTTAAATACATACAGACTCTGATCTCCAACCACGCTGATTTCCTTTAATTGCTCTGAATTCACTTTGCCTCTGGGCTTTTACACAGGCTGTTCCCTCAGACTGGAGCACCATTCCTCACTAGGCTAACTCCTAGTTATCTTTCAGGTATTGGCCTAAAGCTTCATTTCACCAGGATACTTTTCTGAATCCCATAGATGGGGATGGAGCTCCTTCTTCCTCTAGGCTTTCCCCCCAGAAGCTGACCCTCACAGTGAGGTAGCCTAGTTCCTTGTCTGTGTCCTTTCTGGGCCATGGGCACTAGGAGGACAGGCAGGGCTGGGCTTTCTCCAGAGAGAAGCTGAGACCCTGTGACTATTTACTGAATGAGGAAACAGGTGCATAAATGAAGTTTATGCATACAGGTCCATGTATGCACTGGGACTGCCAGGTAGCAAAAGCACAGGGGCACCGCAGTGACTGTTCATATGGGTGAGAATGATGCATGGATGTGTACCTGCTACCAGACATGCATGGCACAGCAAGCATATATGTAGGGCGGTTGGGTTGCACACTTTTACTGAAATGTGTGCTGCATCTCCATGCTTACAGACATGCACTATGCCAGTGTGCACGCTGCACAGGGGTTGTACATGCGCTGTTTGCACACTTATATGGGGATTGTTTACCACATATACACACCTACAGACATACACTTGTGGGTTTACGTATCTGCCCAGAGACAGGGATGCTCATGTATGTGGTTTACAAACCTATACTTACTGGGCTTACATCCACAAATATGCTTGTCTACATGCTTACAGACACATGCTCAAACTTTATGCATGTATGTGGGGATCAGACATTTTTCACTGCCTGCTTTACAAATCTACACTTGGAGGGTTTAAACCAATGTCCAAGGATCAGGCATGCTCAAGCACACATATATACAAAGTACATACATAAGGAGATAGAGTTGTTCATAGTCATGGTTTACGCACATACACCCGTGGACATACACACATGCGCCAATATTGTGTTGTTGTGTAAGCGCATAGGAACATACACTTGCAGCGCTCCTGAGTGCCCTGGCTCCGCCAACTCTGGCCTGCCGTGGGCATACAGACACAGATCCAAGTATAGCAGGGTGGAGGTGGGGGTGAGGCATTGTCAAGGGGCCACAGAGGATGGAGGACTCACAATGTGGCACTACGGTGACCTCCTGCACGTCGTAGCCCAGCAGGTTGTGCAGCGTGCAGCGCACGGACAGCGGCTGATCCACATGGCGCAGGCGCAGTGTGCTCACCACCTCGAACTCCTGCTCCTCCGCCCAGTATGTCACATTCGTCTCTAGCTGGCTCTCCTCCTCGGAACTGTTCCCCAGCGGCGTGGGCGGCAGCTCCCGCGGACACCTGCAGAGAACCGGCCAGGTCGACTTCCAGTCCCTTCCCACCCTACACGGGCGGGAAAACTGAGGCCATAAGCAGGCAGCGCCACTGTGTGGTGGTGGAAGGAAGCCGGGCCTGTCCAGTTTCGTTGACCCACTGCCTGCTCCTTAGTGGGTTCCTCCTGTGATCTCTCGACTGACCAGCAGGGGCGCTCCTACCCTAGAATTGGGAACCCTGGATTGCAAAATCCACTCCCTTCGTTTGACCCTCCGGGTCAAGGTAAGAAAAAAACACAGTTTAGATCATGCAGAGCATCTCCAAGAAGCCACGTCTTCTAGACTATGGCTCTAGCCTGGAACAGTGTTCCCGGGGGAAGGTTCCGGACTAGATTACTTTCACTGAGTCCATCTAGTTAGCTGTGGGTACCCTGGGAAACTGAGGCTTGAGGGTCTGCTCACCTTTTGAGGTCACTGCAGGTAGACCAGGTGAGGTGTGGCTGGGGCATGCCGCGGCCGCGACAACGAACTGTCTGCTCCCCATTGGCAGGGTGGCTCTCGCTCAGCTCCAGCACACGGACAGGCACTGCATGAAGAGGGAGCAGGCAGAGAGGTGGAGAGGTCAGAACTGACAGTCAGTGAGCAAGGCCCTCAGGGAAGACCTGGGCCAGAGTCTCCCTTGGGGGAGGGGGAGGGGAACTGCAGACTGCAGGTGAGCATTAAATACCAGGAATCACCGTGTGAAAACTGACAGATTCCCCTTCTGGGTACTTCAAAGGGAATGCCTGTAGGGAACTAGTCTGTCTTTAACACCTAAGATTTCTAATCTTCCCTTTTAACAAAGAGAGGTCAAGTCTCGGATCAGAGTCCTGGACCGGCAAGAACATGGAGCCAGGATTTAATAGCATTTTTTTGTTTTCTCAGAGTTTATTTTAGTGGTTGCTTTATATTTATGACATGTGATGCTGATTTTCCATCTACAATGGAGAGGTTCAATTTCAGTCAAAATAAATTTATTTTTAGGAAGTCAGTCCACAAAACATTAAGTCATTATTGTCTCATTTCTCTGCTCAAAACCCTGCAGTGGCTTTTCATTTCAGTCAGTGTAAAAGCCAAAGTCCATACAAGGTCCATGAGGGCCTAGACTATCTATCCTCCCATGGGCCCCCAACTGCCCATCTCAGCTCTGACCTCATCTCCCATTGTTCAAGGTCATCTCTGACCTCATCTGCACCGTTTATGTCTCACTCTGTTCTGGCCACACAAGTCTTTCAATGTTGCCTTCGTACTGCCTGGTGTGCCCTTTCCCCAAATGGCCACTTGGCTAATGCCCTCACCTTCTCCAAGTCTTCACACAAATGTCATCTCCATGCAGTCAGTCCTGATCGTGCTGTTGAAATGTAGCTCTCCTCACTCCCCAGTCTCTGTCCTCCTTACCTAACTTTTATTGTTTTCTTTCACAGCACTTGTTACCTTCTAACCTTGTACCTGGCTTGCTGTTTTTTCCCCCACTGAATGTTTCTCTTCCTCCCACTAAGATTCAAGCTCTACCACGGCAGGGCCTCAAGAACCTTGAATGGACTGGCATAGTGTAGCTGCTCAATAAATATCTAATTAGTAGTATAGTGTAAGTGGTGTGTGAGAAGGAAAAATCATGGCACTGGGACATGAATGCCTGAGGTTTTGCAAACACCAGTCTAGTGCAATGACTTTCTTTAAAAGCTGGGGAAACCGAGGTGCAAAGAGGGGATGTGCATACAGCAGTGGTCAGTGTTGGAGCCTTGTCTAGAATCCAGCCCTTTGAGTCCTGGACTACTTCTTCTGCTCCTCCTCTGGGTGGATGGCCAGTGTAGGAATGGAGAGAGAACACAGCTGGGAGGGTCAGGGGAAGGAAAGCACGGTGGAAGGCTCCTCACCATTGACCTGCAGCTGGAAGGAGATCTGGGCTTCAGCATCCTCATGGAAGGCCCGCATGGTGTAGTAGCCAGCCTCAGCCACCTTTACCCGCACCAGTGTCAGCTCTGACACATACCTGAGGAGGAGGACAGGCCAGGGGACCAGCTGTCAGAGCTGGAAGAACTCTTACAGCCCCCACCTTTCTTGTAAAGATAAGAAAAACAAGGCCCAGGGAGTAGAAGGGGATTGCCAAGGTCACATGGGTGTCAGTAGCAATTCCAGGACTTTTGGGTCTCCACCCATAGGCAGCTCCAGTGAGCCAAGAGGGAGGGTTAGAAGGATTGGGGTAGAGGGCATGGTGGAGGGGAAGCACCATCTCTGTTCCTCCACATTTCATCCCTTTCAGAAAGGCCTGACACTGCCTTATTCTAACATACAGCACCTCAGGTCTGCCTGCTAATCTCCAGCCTCAGGGCCACATTCTTGCATAGGTGGCAGTTGGCCTGCCTGGCACCCTCTTCCCTAGTCATCCTCTTTTCCTCCAGGGCTGCTTCCTGCTGGCCCCACCCATCACAAGGACAACTAAACATCTGGGTGGTCATATGACCAGCATCTGTTTTCCCCTCTAGAGAGGAAGCTCTAGGAAGGATGGGGCTGTCTGTCTCTATTCAGGCAGTGTCCCCAGTGCCTGGCACAGTGGCCTGGCAGGGTGCCTGTCACAGCGTAGGCTCTCAGGAAAGATGGGCCTAGATAGGTCTTAAGGCTGTGGGCTGCCTGGCGGCTGCAGAGAATAACTATAATAGAGTGGACGGGCGGCTGCTCACCGAGTCTCAGACACATTGCGCGTGGATAGCGCGATCTCGCCGGCGCTGGAGTCACCCAGGGTTCGGTTGTCCTTGAACCACATGACGGTGGGCGGCGGGTAGGCCTCGAACACCACCTGCAGTGTCCGGCTGCGGTGGAGCTCGGCGAATTGTACAGGGTCCAGCTCCCCCAGCAGCCGCACATAGCCGTTCTCTGCAAGGGGCAGCCGTAGAGGTGGGGCTGTGCCCTGAGCCAATGGGGCAGCACCTCCTGGGGGCGGGGCTCCTGGGGCGGGGCATCAGCTGTACACCGAAGGAGCCCAGCGTCCTGGAGGCGGGGCTTCAGGCTTTAGGAACTGAACCTGAGCTTGGGGGTTCAGGTTGGGACTTGGATGGACTGGAGCAGGAACCAAATTTGAGTCTGATATTGGTTTGGGGGCAGGGTTCAAGATTGGGACTAGAGTTGCAGGGCTCTTTAGGTGTGTTCTGTCTGATGATTGTGGCTGAGATGAGTTACAGCCTGCTTCAATTTGGGGATGGGGCGGCCTGGGCCTGGAATGGCAGTAGGGATTTAGAAATCGGGTTGAGGCTAGGGTTCTGGCTAGCTGGGAAGTCTAGGTTGGGATTAGGACTGGACTCGGAGCTGATACTGTGCTTTGGTTGGGTTGATCCTGGAAATGGGGCTTTGGTTGGCACTGAGGCTTGAGCTGGATTAGAACATGACTGACAGTACCCCAGGGCTGTGACAATGTCTGGGTCCAGTTCAGAATGAAGGCTGGGGCTAAGCTCAAGGCACTCACCAACCACGGTGACATTGATAGCCTTTTCATCACGATGGTCGCTCACACTTTCTGACACATTGCAGATATAGGTCCCTGAGTCTCCCAGTTCAGCACTGGGGATGTGCAGGATAGAACGTATGTGGGGCATTTCAAAGAGGAAGTCAGTCACTGGCTCCACCAGGCGCCCACTCTGTAGGGACAGTTGGGGCAAGCCCCCCACATCAGAAAAGATCCAGGAAGTCAGGCTATAAGTTGAAATATCCATCCCTGCCTGACCCTTCCTCTAACCTGTGGCCTGGCATTACCTCCATGCGTGGGTATGTCCACTCGAAGTTGACCACCTCATTCCCGGTCACAATGCACATGATGGTGATATTCTCCCCTTGGCGGACCACAGTCTGCACTGCATTCACTGAGACATTGATGGATGACACTGGTGGAAAGAGATTGGCTTAGGGCTGAGGAAGTCACCACCAACATCAGCTTAGGGATGGGGTCGGGGTCCACAGAGGGAGGGCATGACTGGTGTGTGGAAGATTCATTCTTTCGACAAATATTTATTAAATACCTACTATATGCCAAGTCCTATTCTAGGCATTAGGGCTTTAGCAGGAAATACAACAGACAAAATTCCTGTCCTCATGAAACTGGCATTCTAGAATGTTTTGAAATCAAAGTACTCTCTGAGTACCTAAGTACAAAAGAAACTTACTGAGCACAACCAGCTACTCTCCATCTTTTTTTTAATCTTCACAATAATCCCCCTAGATAAATGGTCTGTATTAAACCTATTTTACAGAGGAAGAAGCAGACTCTGAGAGATTATTTGCCTTGTGCAGAGTCACTCAGATGGGAAGTGGCAGTGATAGGATTCAAATCCCACTGGTTGAAAGCCTGTGCCTTTGCCTACCACAGTATATACAGCCCAGTTCCACCACTAATGCTTCCATGACCTTTGGCATACTTCATCCTCTTTCTGAGCCTCAGTTTTCTCATCTGTAAAATAGAGCAACACACCTGCCTTCCATAGCTGTAGTGAGAATCCAGTGAAAATGGAATTGCACACTTGATAATCTGAAAAGGTCAGTCCCTCTGTGGACAGTCATACTTGCCTCGGCTGAGCACCAGGCCAGAAAGGGGGCTCACCCTGGAGGCTGTAGACATGGTAGGCATCGGAATCCACCTCCCTGTCCCCAATGGTGGTTTTGCAGATGTAGGTCTTGTCCTCAAAGGTACCAGAGAAGCCACGTTGAGGGTCATAGGCTATGGGCAGGGGGACATCCACCTTCTTCTCATGCAGCATCACCACCAGCCTCGGATCCGTCACTCGACATGGAATTGTGGTCTCAGTTATTTCCGTGAGAAAGATGAATAGCTCCTCAGGGTCGACAGGGAGGAAGCCCACAGAAGGATCTGCCAGGGGCAGACCCAAGAATGTGAGTCAGAGGAGCTGGGTTTCTGGCTCTTCCCTGATCTGCTCTGTCACCTTGAACAAGTCTCTTCCCTCTCTGCCCCTCAGTCTACTTTCTACAGAAGAAGCATGCTCTCAGAGGTCCCTTCTAGCTTTAGCATTTGATATGGACAGCATCAGCCTGAGAAAGAAGATAAGTCACAAGCTGAAGGACAGCTGGTACCTGAGCTTGGAAAATGGGGAAGATGGGATGTGGAGGCCAAGGGGGTGCATACTGGAACCAGTTGAGAATGCAGCATTCTTGGGAACCAGGAATGGGATGGACTGGCAGACAGCAGACAAATATCCAGACCCAGGGGTGGGAGTGGACATACTCCTGGACCGAGCCAGGCTGGATTCCCTGATTCATCTGCATTTCTGAGATGGCTATGTTTCACCATATCAGTAAAGTGCTCTCTGAGCTTCCCCCAGATGCCTGCAGCTGACAAGAGCAGTAGAGGTGTAGCATATAGGCCAGGGGTCCTCACCTGGCACAAAGATGTAGAGCCTTTTTCGCTCACTGGCCTCCAGCCCATGGGAGCCTTTGTAGCCACAGAAGTATTCTCCTGTGTCTAGTCCAGTGACGTTGACCAGTGTCAGCATGCTGGAGAATGTGCCGTCCTGGGTCTTGGTCATTTCCTGTGGGGGTTTCTGGGACATCCGTTCCCACACCACTGGAGCTGCGCCCAAGCAGGTCAGAACAAAGGTGCTGGAGAGGTTGAGGACAAGTTCTGGCCCTGGGGGTATGATGACCAGGCCCCAGAAGGCCCGTGGTCCCAGCAGAAACAGCAGGGGCAGCAATAGCACCTGGCCTTTGGGAGAGGAGGCATCAGACGTCAGGGCACAAGAGCAATAGTACCTCTTTCCACAGCTGACCCTGAGGAACACACCTCCCTAATCCACAGAAAACAGAGACTGGAACCCATGGCTCTGAGACCTGCTTGTCCAGGGTCTAGTCCCCAGGGACTCCTGGCCTCCTGCTCTCAGTGCCTAGAGACCCCCAGCCTTGCAGTCCTTCTGCAGTGCGGCATTCAGGCTGCAGGCATGTTCTCTCAAAGGCATCAGGAAATCCTTGGGAAGCAATTCCCAGGCCCCCAGTTCCTGCATTACTTCCCAGGTCACTTTCTGAGCCTCTTCCCTGCAGTTGCCCCAGCTGCCCAGGTTGTGCCCAAAGCCCAGAGACGGCCCTGCTTGGGGAGGTGGTGGCCAACATAGTCCAGAGTGGGGCAGATCAGGTCAGAAAAGAGACTGAGGCCCCTAGAGGCTGAAGGTGCTGGGGGTATCTAGTGATTGGTTTTCCCTCTGCCTGCTGATACCCTGTGGAAGGATGCTGTAGGCCTTGCACCCAGCCTCAGCAGCTGAAAACCCTGGAGGTGAAAACAAGTGCCTATTTAGATGGGTGGGTGCTCAGCCAGTGGGTCAGATATCCCTGGGTGAACCTTTGACTGGTCACTGATTGCCTGGTCAGCATTGATTGCTTGAAAAAGCTCACCCAGACTTAGGAGCTCACAGCCAATGAGGGGTCCATGAATAGGAGGGGTCCCTCACCGGAACCAGACATGCCAGACTGATACCAGTAAGTGCTGATAAGAGATGGGAGACCAGGGTGACTTTTAGGGAAGAGGGTGGGGACAGTTGGTGAGGGGACATGGGCTATGGAGGGCCAAGCCAAGGATTTGAGCTGATGGCTCTGGACAGGCACAGGTCCACTGAGGTTTCTGAGCTGAGGGGTGGACAGTGGAAGGAGGCCTCCACTGAGACCCACTAGAAAGGCAGGGAACTGAAGCTCAAAAGCAGAGCAGCGCCCCTGGGCTCCCAGGCCCTGGTGCTAGCATGAGCCACCCTGCCAGCTCCAGGGTCCTACCTGGAGGCTCCCCAGGGCCCTCTATCCCTGCCCAAGCCTACCTACCTTTGAGGACAACAGCCCGCATGGTGCTTGGAAGCCGCATGGTATCCTGCAAAGTTAAACAGGAGTCAGGGCCCAGGGGAGCCAGAGGCAGTGCCACAGCCCGTCTTTGCACTGGGTCCTGTAGAGTAAGCCCCAGCTTGAGCCACCCAGCCCCTGGACCCACTAGGCTAAAGTCAAAGACTACCCATACTCCACACCAAGAGGGCACTCGTGCCCAAGGGGCTCTTTCCCCTGAACTGGGCTAAGTCTCGGGGTGCCTGGGCCCTGCTTAGGCTCTGCCTCTTCTCTGATGGCCTTGACTGAACTCCCTTCTCCTTGGGTCTTAGTGCCTCTGCACGTACGGAGGGGGTGGGGTCTTGGCCTGGATGCTGTTCAGGGGCCCACCGGCTCTAACAGCCTGTCCTCTGGGTGACAGTTCCAATACCAGGCTCTTATCTGCCAGGACAAATATTTAGGAAAGTGTGATGAAAGGCCTGAGGGAGAGGGAGGGGGGTAAGCCAGACCCCGGAGAACTCCCACAGTTCCACAAGCACAACAGGAAGTGGAGGCGGCTCTGGGAAAGGAAGCGGGGGAGTGGGGCTGTGGAATGTGGGGGGCACCCCCATGCCTGGCCCCCTTAACTCAGCTCCAAGCTGCACGGGGAGGCACAGGAGGAGGGGCCAGGGGCTGGACCCAGGGGAGGCCTCACCACACAGCAAGGCATCCTTGCAAACTACTGAATCCAAGCCCCCTCACCCACACTTTCAGTGTCCACATGGGGAGACTGAGGCTCTGAGAGGGGAAGAAGTTTGCCTAAGGTTACATGGCAGAGCTTGTTCTGGAGGGAGACAAAGTGACTGGAACGATACGGGTAGAAAGACAAAGACTCAGAGATACAGACTGGAATCACCCAGTGATGGAGGCAGAAAGAGAAGCAGGGACACAAAGGGAGACAGATCGAACTACATGGGTCTTCACCGTCTCCCTGCCCTTGGCAGCCCCATCCAAGGGTCCAAACTAACCAGCCATAACCAGGTTTGCAAAGTTCTGACTGCAGTATCAACAGGAAGGAGGCCAGAAGTGGGTGGGGGTCCTAAGGCCAGAAATGTGGGAGAGACCAGGTGGCAAGGAGACCAGAAGACCTGCTGCCTTCCCTGAGTGGCTGCCCAGCCTGGCCTGGCTCCTAAGCCCGTGCCAGATTGCACCCACTCCACCCTCGTCTCATCCCTTTTAGTTTGCAACACAGGGCTAGGAGCTGAGATTGAGCCCCAGCAGGGCTACCTCCCGCACCATCACATATCAGTGGCCTCCGACTCCAGCTCTCAAAAAAAAGGACGATGGCAAGTGGCTCACTTGCAGGGCTGTGTTTACACATTCATCATGGGACACAGGCAAGGGCCCTGGACTGGGGACCGCTGGCCTCAGCTCTCTGCTCAGCATCCTAAGAACTCGCTGAATAACTTTGCTCTCCTCTTCCTCTTTCTCCCAGTCCCTTCAGACCAGCCTGCCTGAGGGCCCCCTCCCCTCTCCCAAATGCTTTAGACTCAAAGCCCAGCCATGCTGAGGCCACATCCCCAGTGCCCCCCGCCCACCCCTCCTGCTGCAGCCCTCCAGCTGGTTGCCAGACCGCTTCCGGCAGGACGAAGCAGCGCCACAGTGGAGCCAGCAGCCCCCACAGAGGCCTATCTGCCCCTCAGTGGGTGCCTCTCTGGATCCCCCCTTCCTGCTAGAGATCTCAGCCAAAGAAAATCATTAGCAGTGCAGGCTGGGGGAAGGGGTCATTTCAGCCTCCTTGCCCGTCCCTTCCCCACCTCCCTGGCTGGCCACACTGTTTATTATTCTAAAGGAGGAATTTGGTCGGCTGGCCTGGAGATGGGAGGTCATGACAACTAGGACTGGTCTGGCTCTGGAAGGCTGTGGGCTAGGCCCCTGGGTGAGCAGCTCCCAACCCTGGCTCCTCTCTGCTAGGCCTGCAGCTCAGGGGGATTTGAGTCCCTGAGGCTCTGAGCTGGGAGGGGCCTTCTTGAACAGGCAGCAGAGACCTACAGATAGAGTCATGGCCCAGTCACATCAGAAAGGCAGAATCAGGCTGCAGGGAGAGGATGGGTTGGGCAAAGGAGCTCAGGGAGAGGGGAGACACCTTAGGGAGAGTACAGATAACCAGGGACCTTGAACTGGCTTCTCCCTCCATGAAATGGGCATTTTCACATGGGGCTTCAGACCCACCATGAGACTGAGTCTCCAGCCCTCTCTGGGAGTCAGTTTCCCCTTCCATACTGGGAGAGGTTTGGATGGATCATCTCAGAGAGCCAGCCTTGCTCTAACACTGCCAGAGAGAAGGTTCTAGTCACTATTATTCCTGCTGGGGTGGCCTGGGGACATGGGGTTGTTGATGAGAGGAAAGGCAAAATTCCTGAGGCTGGAGCAAAATGAGCATCCATAACCCATTTTCATTCCATGGATTCAATTCCCTAACCATTTGGTCCCAGATTTGCTGTGTATACTTTGACAAATTCTTTCCCTCTCTGGGCTTCTGTTTTTCAGGTGACTTCCAGACAAATAAACAGGTAATATGGCCCTGTGGAGGTGACAGGGGAAGAGTGGCATGGGCAACAAGCTGGTGGATTGGGAAGAACCAGACTGGGGACTGGGACCCAACCTCCTGGGCCATCTTGGATGACTCCTTGACCCCTCCAGTGGTCCACCCATCCCCTATAGACTTCTGTGCTTCCCAGGGGGTGTATGTTTCCAGCCGACCCCAGAAAGGCCCAGGTGGCTGATATAGGGGAAGAGGGCTTGCCTGTGACCACTTCTCTTCTTCGGGGGCAGGACTGCGTTCCAGGGAGGGGCCACCTGGGACAAAGTGGGTGTCATAGGGAGGAGGAATCCCCTTCCTACCACACTCTCCTGCCTCAGAAGGCCCTGGAGCACAGAGAGGAAGGGGATCCTCAGGGATCTCCCCTTTGTTTGTGAGGCGAGTGCTGTGTGGGACGTTCTCGTGATTCTTCCTATTTTGGCTAGGTTGGGGGTACAGAGATCCACAGATGGGATAATTGCCCAGCTCCTCACAGTGAGTCAGAGGTACCCCCTCAGTCCAGGGGAACAAGTGTGCTTGAGGATTCCTCCTCAGAGCCTCAGCCTTGCTCATACAAGCCTCCACTCCTTTCCCACTGCCTTAATCTAAATAAATCCAGACCATCTTGGCCACATCCGCTAGCAGCAGCTTCCCTCCCTCAGGGTCCCAAGGCTCCCACGACACAGGCAGGCTGGGGAGGGGGGCCTGCACGGCTGCCAGTGGGGGAGGCTCACACACGGAGAGCACGTGCACACACAGCACAGGCTCCTGCCTACGCGCTCGCTCACACACTGCTCTGAAACACACCCGTGTGCGGCGGGCCCTGTGTGTGCCCAGCCCGCACGCCAGCACCAGACGTGCACGCCCACACATGCATGGAGCATGCAGCTCCACCACGCCTGGATCACCACCTTGGTGCTCTCCCATGTGCCCATGTGAGGTGCACACACACATGCAGGTTAAATCACACATGTACTTAGCACAAGCGACGCCACACACATGCAACATGCATAAAGCATATGCCCATGGGACCCCAAACTCACCTGAACACACGTGCACATGTGGGCACAGACAGCCACAAAGTCAACGTGTGCTGTGCCCTTACTGCCGCAGGCACTATCCTGAGCACTTGACATAGACTGACTCACTTGCTCCTCAGACAACACTATGAGGTAGACAGAGACAAGGATCACCCTGTTTTAGATAGGGAAACTGAGGCAGGGAGTGCTTATTTACTTGTCTAAGAGCACAGAGCAGAGAGTGAGCCAAGGCAGATGGCTCTGCCACCACTACTGTGTTTACAGGGTTTGGCTGTTCCAACATCAGCGGGGACTGATGGAAACAGACAGGACTGAGATTTATCTAGCCCAGAATGACAGGATATGGTGACTGGACGTAGAGGGGCTGGAGAAAGAGGTATCCTAAATGAGCCCCATTCCTATTTCTGGCTTGGAGTACTTAGGGGGCAGGAATGTGTCTGTCCTAGAGGCACAATATCTTTTTCTGAGATGAGAATGAGGCAGAACAGGAGTAGGAGCTGGCCCTGAGCTGGCTTTAGGATTTGGAGGGGATGTGGGTACCTGAGGGAACAGGGGGACACTCAGTCTGGAGGCAAGGATCAGGCTGGGCAGAAATAGCAATGAGATGGGGATGGGAGGAAGCCCTGCTTCACAGAGGAGGGGTGCTCGAGGCCCGCAGTCTCAGGCCAGGGATGCTCTGAATAAACAAGATGCCAGAGGGAGGGGGAGGCCTGGCCTTGGGGTCATGGGGTTAGAGTCTTGGAATGTCAGAGCTCTGAGGCCCTCAGGGACCATCTATCTGATCCAACCCTCTTCCTGTGCACCACTGAGCAGACGGGAAAACTGAGGCTTGGAGAAGGACAGGGACCAGTGTCAGGGTTTCGACCTAGCAGGCCAGGTTCAGGGGGCCAATGGGGCGCTGTAGTTTATTTGACTGGGCAGCCCCTGCCTCCAGCCCTGGCTTTGATGTGAGGCTGGTGGTTCAAGGCCCAGGGTTTGAACAACAGTTGCTATCCACTCCCTCCCCACAGGATACTGCCCCCACCCACCACACAGAGACCTTTATATCACTTTCCTGGCCTTGTCCTAGCCAGACAGGGATTAGAAACAGACTCAAAGGAGGCGACTTGCTAAGTTGCTGTCAGAAGTGGGATGCAGACTCCAGTCTCCTGCCTGGTGGTCTGGTCCTCCCTCCTGCACACCACGGACACTTCACAGCCCCAGACACAAACTTCAGGGGCAGATCCCCAGCTGAGAGGAGGGGATATGGGTCCTAGCCCAGCTCTGTCACCTGCTTTTACAGTCCTGCCCCTCTCTGAGCCTGTTTCTCCATCTGTACATGGGGTGGGCAGGGCTGTCCTGACAACACTGCTGGGGCTGACATGGGTGACTCTCAGGACCCTGGTCTGGAAGTAGTCATGCTGAGTTGAAATGCTGGGGTGGGGGTGGGGTGCTGGGGAGGGGCCCTGGCCAGGATGTCATGACTCAGCTCAAAGAAGGCAGCCAGCTCCAGGCCCGGGAGTGTGTGGGGGCAAGAGGGATCTGGAGCCAAAGCCTGAGTCCTCCCGTCAGCAGCTGGGGGAGTATGAGAGTGATGGCAGAGGGTGTGGCTCTGTAGGCTCACCCCAAGTGGGCCGAGCTGGAGGTGCAATCTTGGGGCATGGGTATGGAACCCCATCCTGGGAGCCAGGAAGGAGAGCAGGGTCTGTTGGGTTGGGAGATAGTTATGGGCAGGGGGTAGAAAGCTAGAAAGTGGCTGAGGTTGTGGAGCTCTCACCTGCCTCCCTCAACCCAGTGCCCCTTCTGCTGCTGAAGGTCAGCATTCCACCCTACACGCTGAACCTCCCCACAAACCTCAGGATCACGTGGAGGCCAGAAAGGGTGAGCAACCTGACCTGAGTCACACAGCGATGCCACGCAGTCACCCAGGCCCAGTTCTTTGCCATGCTGCTTCTAGACCCAGAGGACCTTCCTGTTTTCCAGGTATCTATGAGGTCCTCCAAACAAAGCAGCAGAAATCAGTGAAGTTGCGGCCTGCAATGGGATCCAGCTGTTCTGGAAGTCCACGTGGGGTGAAAGGACAGTGCCAGTTCCATGGAACATCACTCTGATGGCCCTACCCCACCCCCTCCAGCACGAGTTTGGTGGCCTCTGGCTACCCCATGTTACCACACACTCCCATATCGCCTTTAGTCTGAGCCTTCCTGCCTGTCCTCACCCCCTGACCAGAGGAAACTTCCTGAAATCCCCACCCAACCATGTCCTTCCCTGGTGCCTCCACGGCTCTCCATCCACCCTACATAAACGCTGGCTTCTTAGCCCAGCCTATAAGAACCTTCACGCCCTGCCCTGCTGACAGACAGCTCATCACCACAGAGGGGGCAGGATGCTGTCCTTCCAGCTCCCTGGGGGCCCAAGCGAGGCCCCCACGCTCTTGTCACTCACTCTGTTCTTCTCTCCCCAGGAGGCCTCCCCAGGGACACAATGGAAAGAAATGACCTCTTTTCTGGAAGTTCAAAATAAAACGAAACATCTGTCTGGATCGGAGCCAGGCTGATAAAACATGGACTGATCCCTCCCAGTCCGAGCCCCCGTCTCCTGCCACACACCCCTCACCCGCCGCAGAGTAGCAGAGCAGGCGCTTCGAGGTAGGGGGAGCAGGCCTAGTTACTTGGAACAGCTCGTGGGAAAGCGCTCAGTGTGTGCCTCACGGCCACTGGGGGCCCAGGGGAGGGGGTCTGGGTCCCCACACAGGCTGGGAACTGGCCTGAGAAGGAGGTCAGAGAGGGAGGGAGGCCCGCCACATACCCCTGTCCACCCGCCCGCCAAGCAAACGCTTCCTGCCTCCTCCGGCGCCTCACTGGCCCCCTGCTCGTCCCCGTGGCCACCCCCTGGGCCATTGTGGCCTGGCTCTGCCCAGGCCCAGTGGATCCCTGGACTAGAGTCCTCTAGATCCCAGATAGGCCTCAATGCCCCCTTTGAAAAGGAACAAGGACTTAGAAGACCTTGAAAATAAGAAGAATAGCTAATTCTGATTTAGTTCTTATCACCCAATGCCTGGGCCAAGCTGTTAATGTGAATGGTCTCAGAACAATCCATGACAACGGTGTTGCTTCTGCATTTTATAGATAAGGAGAACAAGGCACAGACAGTGCAATCCTTTGCCCGAGGTCACAGAGTTCCCAGTGGTGGAGCCGCGCTCGATCCCGGGTGGACTCATCCCAGAGCACACAGGCACAACACCCGTGTGACAGCCTTTCTAAGGCAGGAGGCAAATTCTGAGTGCCTGACATACAGTATTAGCTCAGTAAAGGAGTCAGCAGGCTGTTGTTCACCCTCTATTTCCTAACCTCTCCCCTCTTAGCCGGGTGAAACTGAAGTTGGCAGAACAAAGAGGCAGACAATCACATCATCTTTCACAGAACCCTATCTTCTTAGGTGTGAGATGGGCTATAAGTCCTCCTACTTCACATCTCCCCCAGGCTCTCTGCAAACAAAGAGTTTGTCCAGCCTCCCAACTGCACACCTCCCATTATAGGGATCTCACCACCTCACCATGGCCTGTTCCATTCTTGGACAGCTCAGGTTCCTCAGGGGTCAGGTTATTTGAAAACTTTTATTACATGTGCTCAATCTATCTCTTTATATCCTCAACCCATTATTCCTGCTTCCATTCACCACTGTCAATGCCCCCCTGTTCCCACAAGCAGGGCATCTTTCTTCCCGTTCATTTTTCTGATGCTCCACAATGTGAAAACAAACAAAAGCCCTTACTAATTCAGAGCCAAGCACTCTGCTAAATGACATGACCTGAGAATTTGGTTTCATCCTCACAACAATCCTGTGAGGAGGGTACAATCATCATTCCTATTCACAGAGGAAGAAACTAAATCTCAGAGAGGTATGGCAACTTGCTCAAGGTCACACAGCAAATTAATAAAAGCCAGTGATAAGCTGGGATTCAAACTCAGGCCCATCTGACTGACTCCAAACATGTATTCTTAACCACTGTGTAGGACTGCCTAGCTTCTGCCCAGAAACAGGTCTGTTCACAGAGAAACACTCCCACATGGGTTCACCCTAACGGGGTCAAGCTCTCAGGTATTCGAGGTCCTCAGAGGTCAGAGTCCTGAGCAGGGGATCTACCTCAGCTCACCCATGAATTTGGAAGTTAAGCAAGGCGGGATCTCAGAACCTTTCTGGGACATCACTGTAGAACCTGAGGGTCAGCATCTACACTGAGGAGAGGGGTCTTTGCTGAGGACAGCAGGGCTCTGGTCTGCCACAAGCCCTGTCCCAAAGGCCTCAGACAGAGCATCCCGGCAGTCGGGCTAGGTGCAATGCTATGCTGCACTCGGGGTCCAGGCCTACCCCTGCTGGGGAACCAGCACCCCCTTTCCACTGTTCAGATGGCCCAGGGGCCCCTGCAGCTGCAGAGTTCTAGGCCTCCACCATCCTTCGGCTGTCCTCCCTGCAATCCCCGCCCCTCACCGCCCCCCAGAGCCTCATCTCCGGCCGGTGCCATGGCAACAGAGAGCGCCAGGCCCTGGCAGCCAAAGGAGCCCCCGAGAGGGGTCCCGGGCTCAGACTGGGGAGGGGGGTGCGGCAGGCGCAGACAAGCAAACCTTCTGTTCCCCTGGCTGCTGCCAGCCCGGGATCAGCCCCCGGCTGGGGTGGGGGCCGCACACAGAATGGGTTCTCAGAGCCAAGTGGGCAGGGGGCAGGCGGGCCTCGGCCGTGTGGACTGACCCACCAGCACGCGGCCTTCCCCCAGCAGCCCAGAGTCCACACATCGGGCGGGGCAGCTAGCTAACAAGAACCTGCCATTAACTGATGCCAATTACAGAGCATTGAGATTCCCCTCATAGCCCTCTAGCGCGGCAGAGCCAGAGGGGAGAAAACTCCCACATTTTAGTCCCCTTATTTTCCCCACATCTGTTCTCTCACCTCTTCCTCCAGGTGCTCACCCTGAGTCTCCCACTCACTGTTACTCAGCCTCCCTGTGCCTCCGGTCTCCCCTCTGTAAGTCCGGGCTCGTCATCGAGTTGTCGAGGCCTTCAAATGAGTTAATTCAAGTGAAATGCACAGAGCAGGGCCTGGCGCACAGCCCTCGGCCA